CCCCAACCCCAGGTCTGTGCAGGGTGGAGTGGGGTGGGGCCGGGGCTGCACAGGGCTCTTCCCGCCCCGTCCCACGCAGATCCAGGGGCACATGCCCCCACCCTCTCAGACCAGCAGCGGGGGTATCTGGTGGGATGCACCGGATAAGTGGGCAAGCACCAGATGAGTCCCTGGATGAGCGGTGTGTGGCAGCAGGAGCCGCCCTCCCTGTGCCCCCAAAACAACCCATCACTCCATCCGGTGTCCCCCATCCCCACACCAGGTGGGCAGTGCTTGCCCCAGCCCCGCTCCTCCCTCACCACAGGGGCCTTGATCTACCCCCCACATGCCCCTTCCCTCCCCCCGGCCCCGCTTTCCACCCTAACAGACTTAACAGCTGCACGCAGCTCCAAGCTGCCAGGGTGGTATCAGAAATTGCATTTGTATTGGCCGATATGCCTCCTTAAAAAACAACTATTGATATCAGCCCCCAGAATCTCTTATCGGTGCATCCCCTAAGTCATATATAGGCTAAACTTCAGAAATCTGAAAGTATTTTAGTAATTGGGAATTCTGAGAGTTCAGTATTTCTGAAGATCAAATTATTTATTTAGACGTGGATACTCTAACCTCAGGTCCTCGTGTTTCACTTAACATGAACTCGCTTACAATGCTGTTAAAAAGCATTTTAAGTTTTACATTTCCCAAACTTGTTTAAATTGTGCGACCTTCACATCTCATTCGTGGAGTTATTTAACATATAGTACAGTTATTTAAAATTACTATATTTTAAAATTAGCATTAGTGAAAAGAGACCATGTTATAGAACTATCTTAATTGATGATTCAATTTGAAGGATGTTCCGTATTGTCTTTGAAGTGCTGCCAGATCGCTCATTGCTGCAGTCCAGTTCTCAATCTTAGATAAAAGATATTTCCACCTTTAAACAGAGAGAGCTGCAGTGACTATTTTTGCTAAGCAGTTTGGATTTTCTTTAATTTCAACCTAATATATCCCCATTAGGTAGGATAGTTTCATTTGGTAGAGCTCTATTTTGGATGTATACTAATAAGCACTTCCAAAAGACATTAGTTTTGTGCTTATTGAATTTTTTTAACGAAGTTTCAAATGTATTGGTGATCCTGTAAAAAAAAAAAAAAAAATACTGCAGTAACAACATTGTCATTTTCTTTGGAAATTAGACATACCTACTTCATTTTCATATGAATTAATTGCATCTTTTTTTCCTTTTGTTTTTTGCAGGGAGGCTTAGTGGGGCTTGTAGATTATCCTGATGATGACGAGGAAGATGATGAAGATGAAGATAAGGAAGAAACTTTACCTTTGTCAAAGAAAGCAAAACTTGAGTCATCATAATGGCAACTGCCTAAGATCAATACCAGTTGGGGGGAGAGTAATTTTTCCAAAACCCACAAAAAGTAGCAATCTTTTGTGAATTACTGTGTGTGACACAGATCAACCTATACAAATGGATTTCTGCCAAACAAGTGCCAATTCAAAGGAGCAGAAGAAGGGGAAATTCTACATTTAGGGGAAAGGACCTTTGAGCTCTCCAGCTTGGACCACACATTGCCCTTTTCTCAGGGAAGGAAATGGAAAAAAAAAAAAAAAGAAAGAAAGCCAACAGGGCAGGAGTTTTGTTAGTGGAACTCTGGATTGGCTGGTCAGTTGCTACAATCAGAATATGCTTTCTTGGACCATGTATGAGACTTGTGAAGAAAAGGCTCTTTTGCCATAATTCTTCACTAGTTAAGAATGCCAGCAGTTTCTTTATATAAAGAGACCTGCCTTTGAAATCATACATTCTGAACATTTTAGTCAAGCTACAACAGGTTTTAAAAACCTCTATGGGGAGGGCCGAATATAAAGTTTCCTCTTTTTTTTTTCTTTTTTTTTTTTTTTAATCTGTTCCCTTTTGCCCTTTAAACTGCAGAATTTTTTGGAGGTGGGGGATTTGTCTGTCCCTTCTTGATTAAAGATTGAGTGGAATTCTAGATGTGGTCACTTTTGTGTCATAATTTTTATTTTATTTTTATTTTTTTATTTTATTTTTTTTGCCCCCTGAGTGTATGCTTAGTTGTTGAGTATATATTTGGGACCATTAAAAAAATTTTGATGTAATATAATCTCACTGTTGTGCTGGTACCTGTTTCACCCTGTGTAATTTTGTTCTGCATCACAGTTCTTAATATGTTTAGGATTTTATGGAAGATGGTATAGTTTTTATTGAAAAAAAAATGAATCTTGCCACAATGTGCATAAAAAGCAATACTATTTTGTGACTAAATATTTTATATTAAACTTTACATCAGCAACTGTCTTGAGAAACTATTCAGGGAAATAGGGTGGAATAGAAAAGGTGAAGAAACCTTATAAGTATGAAATTAGTATTCCAAAGAGACTTCAAAATTTCATAACTGAAAACAATGATAGTAAACTAACAAATCAAAATAGAGGATGGATGATTTAGGAATAATACTATATTGACACATTTGACTTCTAAAAATAAAAAAGAATAATCAAAAGTGAAGAAAAAAATGCTTTTATTGGTATTTTTTTAAACCTCTTATTCCCTTTGGAATACCAGTTTTAGTGATATAGACGATGGTTCCAGAATTACTTAGCAAAATACCATCTATTGAAATCTATTCTGATATCTAATTGAAAAACAGTAATTAAACTTTGATTGCAACTCAGTGACCATACTCTTCCCCTGTTTTCCAAATCAGAATAATATTAATTCTTAGTAAACTGAAATACTATGTATTACTTCCTTAGTTGCTTTTACAAGTGAGGAGGGATGCATCTAAAATAAGCAGTAAAATTGTACAAATATTAAGTTAGAAGTTTGTTTGAAAAAGAGTGAAACAAAAGATGTTTTATTTGCATAACCAAAAATTGATCCCCTGTCCTCATTCACGACAATATCACATACTTTTATTCTGCTGTAAATTAAGATCAGCAGGA